CAGCAGGCACTGGGGAAGTCCCTGTTCCCCAGAGCACTACCAGGTATGACCAGGAATAACGGTCACAAGCTGGCAGAGGGTAGATTTAGGCTAGATATCAGGAGGCGCTACTTCACGGTCAGGGCAGCTCAGATCTGGAACCATCTTTCAAGAGAAGTGGTGCTGGCTCCTACCCTGGGTGTCTTTAAGAGGAGGCTAGATGTACACCTTGCTGGGGTCATTTGACCCCAGTACTCTTTCCTGCTATGGCAGGGGGTCGGACTAGATGATCTACTCAGGTCCCTTCTGACCTTAGAAACTATGAAACTATGAATTGCTACTATGTCTGCCAGCCCCCATCACGCCTACCCTTCTTCTCTGCTGCATTCTTACTTTTGTCTTTTAAATCTCCCTGGTTGGGGCAAGAGTCATATTGCTTTAGTGGAAAGCTCCAAGTGTATTATAGTTGCTAGTGCAATCTAAATAAAATGCACACAATTACAAAAATCTATATTCCTGTCTGAAATAACAGGAATTCCTGTCCTCTGCCTAACCTTTGTTTATTTCACCGTCTTTAATGTAACTGATTTGACATTTCACTGTAGGAGAGATATTATAAGGACAAGTGCTAAGTCCTGCACTTAGCATGAAACAGTCCCATGCACTGATATAGACTGGGGACTGACTAGCTAAGGAGCAGCTGTTCACAAAAGGACCTGGGGGTTATAGTGGGCAATAAGATGAATATGAATCAACAGTGTGCCCTTGTTGCAACAAAGGCTAACTGCATACTGAGCTGTATTAGTAGGAGTGTTGCCAGCAGATCGAGAGAAGTGATTATTCCCCTCTACTCTGTGTCCAGTGTCCAATTTTGCCCCACCCTCCTTTTTCCCCCCAGCTACAGAAAGGATGCGGACAAATTGGAGAGTGTTCAGCAGAGGGTGACAAAAATGGTTAGGGGGCTCTGAGGCACATGACTTATGAGGATAGGCTGAGGGAACTTAAGTTTACTGAGTTTGGAGAAGAGAAAGCTGAGGGGGGATTTAATAGCAGCCCTCAAATACCTGAATGGTGGTTCCAAAGAGGAGGTAGGCTCTTCTTAGTTGTGACAGATGATGGAACAAGGAGCAATGATTTGAAGTTTCAGTAAGGAAAGTTTGGGTTAGATATTAGGAAAAACTTCCTTACAAGGAGGCTAATGAAGCGTTGAAACAGGTTACCCAGAAAGGTTGTGAAATCTCTATCCTTGGAGGTTTATAAGACCCAGCTATACAAATTATCCAGCAGGGGGTGATCCGGCTTTGAGCAGGGGGTTGGATTAGATGACCTCCTGAGGTCCCTTCCTACCCAAAATTTCCATGATTTTGTGATTACTGAGATATGCCACTCCGGTGAAACTTATGCAAAACTGGGTCTTAAGTTGAAATTTAGAGGTAACAAGACTTAGGTTTATCTTCATCTCTAGTGTGCAGCTGCCTTAGAGCAGGGTGGCCAATCTGTGGCACGGGCAATGTCTGTGTGTGACATATGGCAGACTGGGGAGGGAATAGGCAGTACAATAGCAGATAGGATAGGGAGCAGAAAGCAGAGCAGCAGATTGAGCAGGGACCACAGGGTAGGAAGGAGAAAGCAGAACAACAAATTGGGTAAGAAAAAGGGATCATACTGGTACTTGGGGAGGTTGCAGGGCTGTTTTGTGAAAAGCCTGCTGAAAAGGTTGGCCCCCACTGTCTTAGGCTGTGAAGAAAAAGATGGTGGGATCAAAGTCTGTCTTCTGCTTTTGAAGTGCTCAGAGGCTTTAAACTACTGAGCAGTTTAAAAGTAGAAGAAAGACTTTGACCTTATAGGAAATGCACTAAAGGTTAGTCATCCAGGGTTGTCTTTCACCTACAGCTTTTGGAAATTGCTTTCTAGGTTGAACTAGAAGAGGGCTGTGTCTGGAATGGACCAGAAAGGGAGCTACAGATCTGCTTTCATACCAGTCCAGTGATTTCAGCACAGCGCAGATTCAGCTATTTTAGTATATCAAGAGGTAATAGGGGATGCACAGCTGTTCCATCCCCTGCACATGGCTGCAAATGGGGATAGGATTTCCAATTTTAATGAATCAAACCTGCCTTTAATTTCTTTTGGTATTCACCAGTAGCTATAGCCACAGTTAAGTTATCCTGATTGTAGTTTACAATAACTTCTTTGTGGGCTGGCAACCTTGTGCTTCCCCTGATAGAAGGATGAAATTTGGCTCTCTGCCACAGGCCAAAAATTCCCCCAGCAGCACCCAAGCTACCTATGCTTACCCTCTTGCAAATAACCAGCCCCTCTGAAGCAAGGGTGAGCACAGACATGAGAGAGCAGCAAGGGAGGGGGATGATGTGGAGGGGATAGGTGGCTCAGTGCAGCCACATTCTGCCCAATTCCTTGCATTGCCCTTAGCTGGGTTGAGCTATCATGAGCAAGATCCAGGTTCCTTGCAGACCAGAATCCTGAGTACTAATAATAGTTTCCATAGTGGTTCCCTCTGTGGCCTTGAGCTGATCTTTAAGGACCACATGTTGAGTGTGCTTTCAGGTTTGTAAGTCTTTTGAATGTCTCAGGGTTTGGGATCCAGTATTAGAGACTACATTTAAAAATATGTTTCTAAATCATCTACTTCAGGTTTTCTCCCAGTTTTCATAAATGGAGGTGATATCCCTACCTTTGACAGGCTTTTGTGGGGAATAATTAGGTAATATTTTTAATAGACTTTGAAGATCCAAAGCTTAAACACCTGGTATTATATACATATTGAAATTGTAAGAAATGAAATTTAGATAGGTATTAGCAGCATACAGTTGTTGCTTTACACACTTCTTATATTATGCACATGTCCTTCAAACAAGCACATTATATAATAATGTTTTATAAAATCCTTCCTTTTGCTTACCTGTATTTCAGATAATGGAGGACAGACACTGGCAGGTGGAAATAACTGGCCACTAAGAGGAAGAAAATGGACACTCTGGGAAGGAGGAGTAAGAGGTGTAGCTTTTGTTGCAAGCCCTTTACTGAAACAGAAGGGCGTAGAAAGTCATGAACTTATACACATTTCTGACTGGCTGCCAACACTTGTAAACCTTGCTGGAGGACATATAAATGGCACCAAACCCCTGGATGGCTTTGATGTTTGGAAAACTATCAGGTAACTCACGTCAAATAACTGAGTCAAACATCTGCACTGATTAATAATAGACTCGTAGAAAAATAGGGCTGAAACACGCCTTCAGAGGTCATCTATTTCAACCCCCTGTCTGAGGCAAGATCATCCCTATCCAAACTGTCCTATACAAATCCATTGCTTAACCCAGGGGTCGGCAAACCCTGGCACACGTGCTGAGCATGGCATATGAGGCCATTTTCCTTGGCATGCTACGACTAGCCCCAGCTCTGGGTAGCTGCTGCCGATGACAGAGCCTGGGCTGCTCCCAGCAGGTGTCTGGGAGGCTGCAAGCAGCCCAGGATCCATGATTGGCAGTGTCGCTGGTAGGTGTTGTAAGGCTTTGGTCCTTTTCGGGTCAGTGCCTTGTTCCCTAGTGACGTCAGGGTGAGACTGCACTCTGGGGACACCTAGATCGTAATGGGTGCTGCACCTATTCTCCTGCCATGTCTTTGATGTTGATTGATGGGGAGGCAGTCCCTGTTGGTGGTCCCAAAAGGGGTCTTGACCCTGGTCTTTCTTCCTGGTGCTGCAAACCTCTCCTTTACTCCCCCCCGCTCCTTACCACAGTCATGGCCTGGGAAGATGCTGCTCCCTGCAGTCTTCCTTGGAATGATCTCTTCTCATCCACGGTACCCGCCTCTACCTGGGTTGGGTCCTTCTGGCCGTCAGTCTTTCCCGGGTCAATCCCTGGCCTCCGGATCACCTTTCGGGCAAACTAAACCTGCCCCGGCCTGGGGTAATGGTAACTTAGAATAACTCTCAACAAAAAAAAGAGGTATTCAGCGTCTGCCAATGGGCACCTAGGATGCTGGCTTCCATGATCCCTCTGACTAGGAGCTAATCACTCCTGTTCCCACCACCTTGTGGTACTTGCCACTTCCCCATAGGGCTCCGATGTGGCTGCCGCCAGCTCCTCCCTCTTCACTGGGCTGCCTGCAGGGCTTAGCTGTCGCTTGTTGCCCCTCCCCACCACAGTACCTGAGTTCTCTGCTGTGTGGAGGCTCCGCTCAGACCAGTAATGGAGAACCGCTTCTCCCCACTGCACTTCTCTGGTGACCCTTGGCTTTCAGAGCCTGGATTCCTTTCTCTGTCAGCCAGGCTTCCCCTGGTGATGCTAGGGCTTCCTTCCCTGAGCTCAGGGCCACTGCTGCCTGGCTCCACAGCCTGCGTCTCCTGGTCAGCATGCCACACCTCCCCCTCCGCCCCGCTGACTCCTCTTTCAGCTGCTCTTTGAGCAGCCCGTGCTCCTCCGAGGCTCCGCCCCTGGGGCTCGCGGATTTGCAGGCTCAGGCAGCTCCGGAACTGCTGAGCCTGCACTGGCATTTCCCCGCAGCTGCTGCTTGTCTCCAACCCTGTGGTAAGTATTGGGGCTTGTCGGGAGGGATCTAGGGTCATGTTGGGGGGGCTTTTGCCTCCCCTCTTACAGGCAGCATCAGCTATTATTCATCAGCTACAGAGAGTCGGGGCTGGCTGCAGCCAGGAGGCTACAAACAGCTACACCGGGCTCTGGAGCCCAGGCATCAGCTCTGTACCAGTGCATGCATGGTATGGTGGGGGAGGGGCCTGAGGCAGCGCAACCCCAGTCTCTTCCCTGTTCCTGGCACAGAGCTGGTGACTGGGCTCTGGAGCCTGGCGCAGGTGTTTGTAGCCAGCCTGGGCTCTGGGCAGCTGCAGCAAGCAGCGGGCAGGCTGCAAGCAGCTGCTCCCGGCTCCACAGCTCTGGCATCAGCTCCATGCTGGCGGCAACTGCGTGTACACTTTGGGGTGGGCTGCACTGCCCTGCTTTCAAGACCCTTGTTAATTGCCCTGTTGCTTTCCAGTGTGTTCACAATCCTTCTCAGTTGCATGTTGTCTGTAGACTTGATCAAAATGCCTCAATTCCAGCAGCCAAATCATTAATAAACATAGTGAATAATATTTGGCCCAGGAGAGACCCCTGTTTGACTCCACTGGAAACCTACCCTTCTGACATAGATCCATTTGTTAATTGCCTTCTGTTTGTGGCTATTGAGCCAGTTGTCCATTCATCTTACAGGGTAGTAGCTTTGTCTCGCCCACATTTCTCCAGTTTGTTTATGAGAAGGTCATGTGGGCCTTGTCAAAAGCTTGTCCAGATACACTGCATCCGCTGCATTCCTTTCATCCGCCCAAGTAATTACTTTGTCAAAGAAGGAGATCAAGTTTGTTTGTTATGATTTATTCTTAATAAATCCATGCTGGCTGCTTGTGATGTGCATTTCCTCATCCAGATGCTTACAAATAGACTTCCTTATAATATGCTCCAATAACTTTCCAGGTATTGAGGTGAGGCTGTTTGTTCTATAATTCCCTGGGATCTCCTTTTCTCCCTTTTTTAAAAGAGGGGCACTATGCTAGCCCTTTTCCAGTCCTCCTTTACCTTGCCCACAACTTCATAAATATTATTACCAAGGTTTGTGAGATCTCCTCTGCCAGTTACTTCAATACCCTCCAATGAAGTTCATCAGACCCTGCTGACTTGAATTCATTCAGACCCATTGAGAGCTCTCTGACTGTTTCTTATATTAATTAATCTCTCAGTGTGTCCCCTTCCTTATCTAAATAATCTTGCTAAGACTTTTATCAGCAAGAACAGAGCTGATACTTCAGGGAAACAGGGTAAATGGTGTTCACTCTAAGTAAGATGAACAAACCAGTATGGTAAATAAAAGGAGAGGTTACCATATTTACCTGAATCCAAGACGAATTTAAGATGTCCCCTAATTATTAGATTCTGTACATGGAAATTTATAATTTTTAAAATAGTTTTCCATGTATAGAATTTAATTATTGGATTAAATTTGTCCACCCCACTACTGCACGGGGCCAGGCATCCGGGGGGGGCAGGGGGTGTTAACCCTTGCCACCTGTCTTCACCACCACTTGGCCCCGTGCAGCCTTGGGCCCCCTTTCTGCCTCCCCCTACCCCCCCAAAGTATCTGTTCCCTCCTTTCCCCTCCCTCCCAGAGCCTCTACGCCTCCTTTTCCCTCCCCACTAAAGTCTCTGCTCCCTGCTTGCCCCTCCCCCCATCCCCTATCCTGCTTGTCCTTGCTGTGGTCCCAGCAGGCTCCATACCCTCTGCAGCCTGGGGCACAGAGCACAGTCCCAGCCTGGCCCTGTAGCATCTTTGATGGCCTCATGACTATTGGGCCCCAGGCTGGAGCGAGGATGGAGTCTGCCAGTGTCAGGGGTAGGGAGCAGAGTCTGTAGGGCAGGAGATGATGGAAAGAAGCTACAGAGGGGAGATGGCAGAGTGCAAAATATGTAGGGGGGCAGGCAGCAGCTGCAGCCCTGCCCCAACTCTGGTTTGGGGTTAGGGCTGGAGTCAGAGCCATAGTAGCTGTCTGTGCCCCTACCACTTCGTACTTGATTCCAAGATGAGGGACTTCTTTCTCATGTTAAATAAGGGGAAAATTTGTCTTTGAATCAAGTCAATATTGTAAATGAAGGGGGCATCATAAGTAGTCAATACTAGTCATGTTGCTTTCTTACCATGGGGATGTGATGTAGTATAATAACGTGAATGGGATAGAAGAGAGTAGGTAAGCCAGAAATTTCTCAGAAGAGGTGAACAAACTACCAGAGGAAATGGTGGAGTCCCTGTGTGTTGATATCTTTACATCCAGACTGTATAGCTTTCTAACAAGTACTAAAAGCTTTAGTAAAACTGAAATTATTGAGCTCAGTGTAGGGGTAATTAAGTGAAAGTTAGTGGCCTGTGATGCATGGGCTCATAGTCCTTTTTGGCTTTAACTTCTCTTGTGAGTCCTTCACTCTTCTAGAATAGATGGGGATCTATACAGCATGTGCTACTGACAATAGGTTATGGAGGTCCTCCTTGGCAACTTTTGTAACTTTTGCAAGAGTAGTTGTTTGCCTGCTGACCTTGATCTAAATTCCTTCATTCCTCCCTCTCTACTTTTGTAGCTTTGTAGTAGCTAGCTGGCTATATTCCATTCCCTCTTTTCTTAGAAGTTACAATATTTCAGTGTTTTAATATAGTTCCAAATCATCTCAGGGGCATTTAGGATGCATGCTGTGGAGCAAAGGAAATAATGCTCAATTTAGCTAAGAGGCAGGACTTTCCAATTCCCAAATGGTGAACATTGAAGATGTAATATTGGTTATATTCTTCATGGCTTAATGACATTTCAATGTTGATTTATACTAATAATTTTGGTAAAAGCCTGTCAGCATTATGGGCAACTCCATGTGTAGGTACATTATCTCTTTAATGGGGTTATAAAATATAAATGACATGGATGTCTCCCTATCAAATTGAGCTTGGTGTAACAAAAGCTGAGCTCCTCACCTTTTCATCAAATGCTTCCTTATTACCCCTTTTTTCTCACTTTAACTCCAATATCCTATCTTTTTCTCTCTACTTGAGGGTCATCCTTAGTAATTCCTCCTCTTCATGTATCAAGACCTTCTCTAAAAACTGCTTTGTTGGTTTTGACCCCCAGAACACCCAGTGCCTTACTTTGTCACGACCCACAGTTTAATGACATAGCTGCCCAATTAGTGCACAGGGGCAGCAGCTATTTCTGGTTGCCACTGCAATCACGCAGCTGCCAGCAGACTTTTAATTGTCCTTTCCTCCTCCCCTAGCCCCCAGGTCAGCGCCTGTGGCAGCGTACCCCTGGCATCACCCTTGCTACTGTACAGGTCAAGAAAGCAAAATGTTTTGTTTATCATCTGACCTTGTAAAGCTTTCCTTTTCTCTCTTTTGATACCCATGTTACCCTCTAACCAAGGTTCACTTCGTTAAATTTTCCATATTAGCAGAGGCAAGTAAGTTAGCAAATAGTAATTCACACTTACAAAAAACAAAGCCAAAATATCCAGTGTTTTGTGCATATGGGGTTTTCAGGATCTTTTTCCCTTTCCTATCCATTAGTTTACAATCTCTTCAGGGGAGGGGAGGGAATGTGTTCATTCTTTGCTTTGTATAGCATTGAGA